TATCATGTAGAGGCTAATAGGCTCTCGTATATACTGGGGTTTTTTGTGAACTTAGCTTATGAAGGTATTACCTAATGGGTGGTCAGCCCATTATGTGGCTCTCTATCTCATCACATCTTCAGTTCATTATGTAGCCATCCATCTCATCACATCATCAGTTCATTATGTGGCCATCTATCTCATCACATCAGTTCATTATGTGGCCATCTATCTCATCACATCATCAGTTCATTATGTGGCCATCTATCTCATCACATCTTCAGTACATTATGTGGCTCTCTATCTCATCACATCTTCAGTTCATTATGTGGCCATCTATCTCATCACATCATCAGTTCATTATGTGGCCATCTATCTCATCACATCATCATTTCATATGTGGCCATCTGTCTCATCACATCATCAGTGCATTATGTGGCCATCTGTCTCATCACATCATCAGTTCATTATGTGGCCATCTATCTCATCACATCATCAGTTCATTATGTGGCCATCCATCTCATCACATCATCTGTTCAATATGTGGCCATCTATCTCATCACATCAGTTCATTATGTGGTCAGCTATCTCATCACATCAGTTCATTATGTGGTCAGCTATCTCATCGCATCATCAGTTTATTCTCTCTATCAACCTATCAGTTCCTAGAAACCTCGATGACACTGTGGTCAAAACGAGGCAGATAGTGTGCGATTAACCACAACAACAAATTATATCCTGTTTGACAACAACATGAAACGAAATATGCCGCGTGTTCGCTAATAGATCTCAAGACTAGCACATCTTTGTTCTGCGACTGGGCGGTGTTGATTTTAATTTGTATCGATATTGCAGCCCCAGCAGTGAAAATTTCTTTAGCCTTATCTAACCTTAGTATTTACCCCAGTTTTATCTGGAGAAAAATCGTGATGCGAGTCTTTTGTGAGACAATACAGAAGAATTACCAAATACGCATACGTAAATCCATATCACTGTATCCTTGTTTATTTAATCCTTTGATCATCCATATTCCTATATCCATGCTTATTTAGACCATTGACCATCCATATCACTGCCTCCTTGTTTATATAGTCCATTTGCGTCTTCTTTTTTTAGATTTTTATATCACTAAATAATCCCTTTAAAATAGAGGCCTATTTATGTACTGAAACAACATGAAATTACATAAATATTTGTGTTTGATCCACGTCCATAAAGTTAAATTGATGTTTATTTAGTGTAATCATCCATGGAGTTACTGCTGCCTCGTCTAAGAAAAAAAAAATAGCATATCAAAACAAATAAACATACCGACTTCTATAAATAGCTGTCTCGTGCTGAACTACCCGGATGAAGCTCTTCTAATCTATACCCCATTGGGCCGTAACAAGTTATATACATCAATATACGCGACTCATTACATTTCACTCCATTACACCATCGTTAACTTTCGTAACTTCTTTATCACGATTAGATGGCACTTGATGTAAACATAGAGATTCTTGTCAGCGTATTTTAGCACTTGAAAACCTTTTAAAACTCTTTTTTAAATGCTTTTTTAATGATAAAAATGAAAAAAAAAACGCGTTTACGAGGGGGATTGGTTAATTAATTAACACATTGCACGACTGATGCTTAACAGAAAAGCATTACGTAACATTAAGATTTGTAAGCACGTGGGGTGAGGGGGGGGGGGAACCTGGTTGATAAAGCTAATCTGTCCTAAACAGGATCTTATCATATGCGATGAACAAGTCACTTAACTCTGTCTTATCCTTGGGTGACCACGGGCAGTCGCGAACTTTGACCTCGTGACAAGTGCATCATACAAACCTTGTAAAGTAAAAATATCTTTCAGACCTAATGATCTATAGTGCAGAAGAAGTAGAGTTCATGTGTTTTTTGCTATTACCTCGGCATATGAAGAGATGGTGTGGTCAGCATCATACCCAATTGCCTTTACTTTCCCTAACGTCAGTCAGGTACCCATTAGAGCTAGGTGGACTCAAGGACGTTCTGATCCGAACTGTACACCTTCGGGCTGGTAGTTTACCGCTCGACTACCCGACCACGCCGTCCCATATAAATTGATAATTTATGTTCAAACTTTGTCCAAGTGACGTATTCTTTGTTTTTACTTTACCCAATTATACAGAGTAAACACATAAATTAAAGACCCAACCTCAAGTCATAAAATAAACATACTTCAAGCGTAAATACGCGTTTCTATCTTTAATTTAATTAAATAACAAATTTTCACACACACACACACACACACCTCCCAGTGAAATTAGAACCCCCCCCCCCCACCCCCTATCCCACCATATGGACATGACGTGCCCTCTATATGACTTGGCACCTGCTGTGTGGGGGTAGCGAAGAGTGGGGTAAAAAAAAAACCACTGAGGAGTTGCGCAGCTTGGCCTTGCTCTGAAGATCACATTGTTCGCGTTTTCAGCCAGGTACATTCACCCCCAGAGGCGGGCCAGCATTCTTAGTGTCCTAGATGTAGCATTAGGAGAAATTCCTTTGGGTCTCTTAAGAAATTTGTTTTTTTAGAAGGAGCGGCTTAGTGGTATGGGGGAAAGGGGCAGATTTATTACCGCGAGAGTTTATTTAACAGAAGTACGTAATTATTTTTTTTGCGAACCTGCAATTTCAAACATATTCAATATTTGAAAAGATGTGATGCCTCGATACGTTCCTTACATAATTATATCCAATTCACAGTTTAAATTGACGGCAAAGGTGTGTGTGTGGGGGGAATGATCCTAAATGGCATCATATCACCACTAAGAACTTATGTAGGATAATATTACTAGGTATAGAAGACAGTAAATAGTAACAGCCCACTCTCCGGGTATATGGTCAACAGTGTTTCTTCCAGACTTTTTTTCTCCGGGGGTGGGGGGGGGGGGGGCACTCGATATTTTTGGGGAGGGGGGGGGCGGACACTGGTAAAAGTATATATTTTCTATATAAATTTCCATTTCTTCGGGGGGGGGGGGGGGGGGTTGCGGTAGACTTTCTTCCAGAATGCCCGGAATAAAACACTGATGGTCAAATCAGCTGGTGAGGACCAACATGTGAATGACCAATGAGAGCAACTTATTCACATGATAAACCTGATTTAAGATGGTTTGGGCAATGAACATTAAGTAATCTAGAACTGATCGTCTTGCACTCTACCACTCAACCACGCCGCCCATGAAACAACATGAGTGCTAACAAAACTTTTTTTCACAAATCTATTATCACGTAACCTACTCTACTTTCATTATCTGTCCTTGTTTTGCTTAAAATACGAAGGTCTGCTGTAGGCTATAGGCCAAGCAAAACCAGTTGTTTTTTTCTGCCTACATTTTACATACAACCAACGTCTCGTGTGTTATTCTCCTGTGTTAGATGTACTTGTATGATACATTGTTATATATCATAAGACCCCGTCAATTATTTATTAATACCATTGTCAGTTGGGATGATTACATTGTTTTCCCTCGATTCTACTCAACACAGGTCCCTTACTCACAAGAGAGACCTACAATATGTAATGGGTATTTCCCAATTTTCTATTTATAGATGTGTGGGTGTCGAATGAGGACGGGGTCAATTGAGGTCTATTCGGAGGTTTCTTTACCTTCTCCTCCGAACTCGATTTCACTTTGTTTGCTAGGCTACTTCCAGTACGATTAAAGTTTAACTCTAAATATAAGATAAAAAAAAAGTCTGCTCCCAAAATTTTGCTCTTCAAAATATAAACGGAGAATCTATTGCGTTGATAAAATCGAGTCATTTATCTTAAAACTTGTATCTCTGTCTAAAGCTAATTCTGGAAAGGGACGCCCATAGTGGACGTGAGGCTATTATTGCTGATTTGTGGCGCCCTCACTAGACGAGCCCTATTGGTACAACGTTACACTTCCAGAGTTTCTTCCAGACATCTCTTCGGGGGGGGGGGGGGGGGGGGGGGGGGCGTTCTGCCGCCCCCTCCCGAAGAAAGTCAACCGCCCCCCCCCCCCCCCGCCGAAAATTTCCAGTGCTCCGCCCCTTGGAGAAAAAAGTCTGGAAGAAACACGTCTAAGTCATCCCCCCTGTGTGTGAAATGACTTATAGACTACCCTAACTTGTAAAAACATATCAAAACGTCAACCAACCAGCACCCCGCCCCTCCCCAGTCGAAATAAAATAAAAATATGAATTATAACCAGTGTCATCCGTTTCACCCCCCTCCCCGCCCTAACTCACCCCACACGAATGTTTTTAAGCGCACCCCGGAAAGAGATCCTGCCCATGAGGCCTGATAAAGTTTTTAACAGCAACGAGAACAAATGATCGTCAGATCTTTCTTCTACTTTCAGTTTGTCACATCTTTGTGTTATTCGATTTGCCTTCTTCTGGGGGGGGGGGGGGCTAGGAAGTCTACTCTACCGCACCCCCGCCCCGAATTTAAATTTAAAAAATACTCTAAACAGCGTCCCCCACCCACGGAAAATTTAGAGCGCTTTCTCCCCCCCCCCCCCCCCCCCCCTCGCAGAGTTTCTTCCAGGCATCTCTTCGGGGGGGCCGAAGCCCCCCCGAAAAATTTTTACCGCCCCCCCCCCCCCCGAACGAAATGAAATTTATATAATTTATATAGAAAATATATACTTTTAACAGTGTCCGCCCCCCCCCCGAAGAAAATTTACCGCCCCCCCCCCCCCCCCCCCCGAAGATTTCAAGTGCCCCCCCGGAGAAAAAAGTCTGGAAGAAACACTGGTTTTATGTCAGTGTCTTAGTGTCTTATGATGCATCGTCACGTTCAGTAAACTATTTTACCAAGTTAAGGTCTACTGACTTTGAAAGGACGCGTACTTTATAGATCCAGATGGTAGGTAATTGAATGTAGAATATATAAAATCTCTAGGCCTACATTGAGACCACTCGGTAGGCCTAATGTGTAAAGTTGTCCTAAGTTTACTGCAAGTCAGACAGCGAATGGGGTGCAATGTGTGTCGCTAGTTTCCGGGTTGGGCTCTCGCTCGCGGTTGGCTAGCCTATGTTGTTTAGTAGATCCACCAGTACCAAAGTGAGGATACAGTCAGTGATACTAACTTTGTCACAACTTTTTGGAAAATGGTTTAATGTTGTTTATGTTTAGGTAGAACTACTTAGATTCTAGTAAGTAAACTGCTGTAGATTATTAGTATACATTAGTTAGATATAGATTTAGAATCTAGATCTATCATTCTAGTCTTGTTAATTAATTACTAGACTCCTAAAAATGCCTAAAATTGCTAAAATAGATACTTTTTTAGATACTAGATCTAGTTAGTAGTAGATAGGCCTAATAACTTAGTAATAAGTAAATAGTATAGGGCCTATAATATATAATAGTTAAAGTTTAGTATATATCTAAGTATAACACTATAGTAAATAGGCTGTAGGCCTATAGTGTTTATATTTAATAATAGATCTACATCTAGATCTATATAGTATATAGGGGCCTATACTATTAACTGTGCACACTTTAAAACTATCACCCTGGTGGGGGTGGGGTGACACCAACTGCGAAATTTACCGAGGAAAAAGGTTCTTGTTAAATATTGTGAAAAAAAATGCTTTTTCCACTTAATAGGTGGATTAATATATTGACATTATATTGTGTGCACCAATTGACAATTGACCCATTTGGGAAAATGGGAGGTAGGTGACACCAATGGACACGAGCGAGAAAACTCTCAAAGGTATTTGAGAGGTGTATAAATTAGTTTAAAAATCAGGCACGGCGTAGTTACAATTAATATGGTTATAAAATCCTGTCTGTCTGGTTTATTTCGGACTTTACTAAAGATTGGTTCTATTTGATGTTTTAAAAATTTTCGGTAACTAATTGAAAATTTAAAAACAAGCCAAAACAATTTGGTTTTCACGTGTAATGGCGACATAAACAATGGCATCCTGCTATTGGATAGGCCGACATTGATTTTATTGTACACATTGTAAGCTAAAAATAGAAAACTAGGTAATGGGGTTTTTAATTTGCATTGTTATTTAAAAACTTGATCTGCAAAGTTTTGTAAACAAATAGTTATCGATCACTAAGTTACTGTACAGCCAATCAATATTTGTCTTACGAAAGTGAAACATCCGGTTTTAACTTAGGCTTGATGAAAATAAATAGAAATGTAGCCTTAAACTCAACAAATTATTTTCAAGTTCTCTGGATTTACAACTTTTATAGCATTTATTCTAAAAATATAAAATTTCTAAATTAATTTTAGGCTTAAGTTTTTATTTTTTATTTTTTTTTACGGTCTAAATCTAAAAAGCACGTTTTTATTCCATGACAACAACACTATGGAAGGAATCTCGTCAACTCGCTTGTCTCCATTACAACTATATATGTACAAGCATTTCTATTTTTTAACTTACAAATCTAAAATTGATACATAGTAAGAGGCAAGGTTAGGGCAGGGAGAGTGGGGGTGGTCACCCTGGTTGCCTAATGTGGGGGGGGGGGGGGGGAATGTGTAGGCCCCTGGTGCTGTAATGTGTTAGTACATAATCAAAATCCCAGGATTTTTAAAAATTTGTAAAAAAAATAATTCATTCAAATTATTATGTACTAGTGGGTGCTTAACAACTTCTAAATAAGGTGCTACGTACTGCTATATACTGCTATTTGTTATTTCCAAACACGGAGCATGTATAATTCCTTCTAGTTTTCAAAATGGTTAGCTTCAATATGATAATTGTTTTTCCTTGAAAAGGAATAACCAATAGTTCTGGCAGACATGCCTACCATCCCGCCAAAAGCTGAATTGTTCCGCTTGTTTAAAAAAAATCATTTCCAGTTCCACCATCCTGTTTTTGTCAAAGTTTGTCCCGCTTTTTGAAAATAAATTAATTAATAAAGAAAAGTAATAACTCTTAATTTATATTTTATATAGCATACAAAGCCTTCAGCATTTGTTGTTCTTATAGCCTAGAACATAGCAATGCAGCAATAATCAAATCAATAAAGTTATGTCAAAGCTCTGGTTTTTTATTGGGGATGGGGGGGGGTGGTCTCAGGTAACTGGTTAACATTTTTTTTTAAATGTATGCTGACATAAACCAGTATTTAAATGTATCCTAAAGACTAGTTTTATATAACTAGAAGCCGACTAATATCATTAGACTAATTTTTTATTTTTTACTTAGTAAAGTAGTGTCAGCATGTATGTTCCTCTTTTTAGCTTCAAATTCCTCTTTTTAGGCATGACTGTTCCTACTTTTGGCTGTCAGGGGTAGGCATGTCTGTAATCTGGTTGTAACTTGAATTTTTAAAATTTCCTTTGATAATATGGATACATAATTCTAAAATCATTCAAGTGATGATCTTTTTAAGTAAGTCAAGTTGAATTTTCTTGATTTTTTTCACAATCAGCTATTTTCTCATTAAATTTCTTCTTCTTGTTATTGATTGTGATTCTTAAATTTAAAAAAAAAAATTTCAATCATGCATCTCATGTCAGCTAAAATTGCATTCTTTATTTAAATATTTTGACATGACTTAAGCGTTCCGTCTACCGATTGATTGTATCACAACACTAATAGGTTCAAATAACAAATAGTATTTAGGGTTTGATTGTATCACAACACTAATAGGTTCAAAAAAACAAATAGTATTTAGGGTTTGATTGTATCACAACACTAATAGGTTCAAATAAAATAGTATTTAGGGTTTGATTGTATCACAACACTAATAGGTTCAGGTAAAATAGTGTTATTTTTCTAAACCATTTACTGTTAAACCGAAGCGGAACTCCAACTAAACATTAGTAGTATTTTTGTTTTTTTTCCAGGCTTGATGGAATGAATAAAACCTGAAGTGGCTACAGTTGGATATAGCACCTTACCACAAGCCCCTGTTGAAGGAGTTGCTATGAAGATGTGGATCCTCTGCTTGGCTGTGTTGCTGCATCTAGTGTGCCCAGCTGCTACAACTTGCAGCTTGGTTATATTGGATGAAAATGGCAAAGTATATATAACTTGTTTTTACTGTTTGTATACAAACTTAACTATTACAATTACCTCTTTAAAAATAGATTTATATATAATTTTTTCAGTCTAACCTGGGTATATTTTTTCTTTATTTTTATGGTGTTGTTTATGTAGATTATATATGTAGTGTAATAAGCCCTATTTATTTTATTATTTAAATTTATGCATTTCTTTCTCAGCTTACAAACAGCACCATTTGTCTTGAAGAATATGGCACTAGTAGTAAGTCTAGATTTTATGAGTTAATCTCTTATAAAAAGCTTTAAGACTTGACTTGTTAACCAAAATGTTTTATTTTTTTATATTAACATATTTCATTAGAACTAGTTTTTTAAAATACAAAGTGACATAGCAAAAACTAGTATGTTCTTAAACTGTACAAACTAAACTAAATTAAAACTGTAAAGAAAACCTTACCAACTAAATTAACATTTTCAGATTGCAGTGGCTTTGTAAAGAAAACCTTACAAACTAAATTAAAATTTTCAGATTGCATTCAATTTGTAAATACATTCAACACATCTTTTCTGCCACCTGGATATTTGGAGCAACAACTGGATGTACAGAAACCAGCTCAGATGGACCTCATTAGCCTTAACTCTAATACCACTGACAACTCCGGAGTACAGTGGATAGTTCCTGGAATGTCAGTGAGGTGGAACCCCCCTATAACAGGTTATTATAATCTATGTATGTTTAGAGTTACCATGGTAAAACATAGGATTGATAACCCAAAAGTTCCAAGAACTTTCTGGCTACTGGTTCTATACCTGATTTGGGTATCAAAAACTAAAGGTGGTACAACATAAAATTTGTTTGTTTTAATATATTGAAAGATTACTGCTGTATAAACTGGTGGGAAATGTATAAATTATTTACTCTAATCTTCTTAATTGGACAATATTGCATGTTCTTTTCTCACCGTTTTAAAGTATTGTAAGGTATTGTTTTATTGAGTTTTCTGGTTGGACTACATAAACAAGCCCTATGAGTTCAGTTATAACATGTTATGTGTAATATTTAAAAGCATTTTATAATATTTATTGTGTGGGACACAAATATGGTGAACACTTACAATCTGCTGTTGGACTTTGTTCATGAAAAAATAATTTTACTAACTTATTCTTTGACAATATCCAGACAATTCTCAACATGAATTAGAAACCTCAAGTGATCAAGTTCCAGGATATGTTTTATTGGACAAATTTTATTGTACACGGTTGACACTCAAATTTTAGTTAGACCTCATTTAGCTGAAAAGTCCCAAAGCATCTAAGGACAGTCTAATGATGAGTGTGCTCATCTCCCAATATTTCATTATCTACTCTTGTCAGAACAATTTTGACAATACCTGACCATTGATAAACAAACTGCCTACATCCAATCTTTTGAAAGCAACTAATTCAAATGTTCATTAATTTACTTAATCCTCTATTGAATTTTCAGGCTCTGCAAAAAATGCTTTGGAAGGATACCTCCTTACCTGGGATGCCTTGAATCAAGGTGTTAGATGCAGGCTTTTTAAGTTTGACAAAAACCATGCTGATAAATTGAGGAATGTGAGTAGCTTTGTTTTAGTACACTAACAACTTTTCTGTAATTTTTTATTCTGCCGTTTAAAATTATACAAATGCAAATTCAATAAAGTTGCGTTATTCAATTTTAAGAAACTCATTTGATTTTCCCCTTGTTAGTACGTAAACAAAAGCTTGATTCTATAAATGTTTTGCATTTAAGTATTTAAGAAGTTACAATACATTTAAGCCTCATAATTTTGCAGATAAAAAGCATAGTGTTCAAAATACTTTAAGTACTATATATAGTGTATCTTATAGCTATATCTTCTTTTGAAAGTTTATGTCACATTGTAATGTCACCAAAGCTTGACTTAGATTTTTAAAAAACTCACTGGTTTGATGGGAATAGTTGAAATTCCATAGCAAAATTTCAGACAGATGTTTGGATTAATTACCTTTTAATTGGAATATAGTTTCAATAATGCTAAGTAAATAAATTTCTGTGTATGGTTATTGAAAAATTAATTCATTCTTTTGACATCAACGTTCAGTCTAAACTGTTTTGTGAGTTAATGTGAAGCCTTTTTTTCCAGCTCAACTTTAAGTACAACATAGCTTCTTTACCTCCAAGTGCAAATTTAACTTTCCGAATATACAGCATGCCTCCGCCTGAACCAAATAAAAAGGATGATAACAACTTTTTTGTTTCAATGCGAGCAACAAGTTCAACTGGAAATAGTAAGTGATCTACAGTTTTTTTAAAAAGATTTTTTGTAAAATCTGCTAAAGTTAAACTCAAGTTTTAAGAAATTTTTAAGATGGTGGATCCTTGAAATACATTTCTTCATGTTGAAAAAAGTTTTTGCATTAATTCTTTGTATGCTGGTTCTTTTATGTCATACCTGACAGCTATTTGAGTCAATAATTTTACAGGCTTTAATTGAATAGATTGCCCAGTCAAATTACTTGCTGTGAATGCAGTTTTTGATTGGAGCCCACTTCTCTTTTGTAACTCAACTATTCATATAAATTTCTAATTTTTTTTTTAAAGAGCTGTATTCTGAACCTGGCAAATGGTCTCCAACTGTTTCTGTCAGAACTTACAGCTATGGTAAAATAGATGTGAGGTTCACTCTGTCACCTATAAGTTATAATCTCACAAATTTTCAAGTTCTACTCATGAAAACAAGCGTTGATCTGAACAACTACTTTAAAATGGAACGCTACACTGGAGAGGTGTGTTTGAGCCCGTCACTTTGTTTCACTACTCAAGTTAATTGTAATTTAATATTGATCGCTATGCACATAGTAATTATTTATATAAACAAAGACTTAAAAATGCATTAACTTTATTCAAAACAAATTTTTGTTTTCAGTTGTATACGCCAGATATTTCAGAGGGTTTAGTATCTTTTGATGGTTTGGAGTCTGATTTCTATTCTGTGATTGTAAGTATGATAATTGTTTTCAGAGATATATTTGTGTGGCAGAGTTAGTTTTTGTTCCTGAAAAATCTGCGGGCTCTTAAAGAGGTTCTTGATCTCTGAAAAAGGTTGTTCTTTGTAATTTGTGTTATCAATTGCTATGTTTAGAAACATTACATTATAATCATTAGAGAACTTCCCCCTTGTTTATATTTATTAATACCTAAAACGTGAATTTGTAACATTGAAGTATAATTTTCACCAACTACAAGAGAAACATTGAAATGAATAAAAGGCTGCCGACTAGCTACACTCTGTTGACACTCCCTACACTGCTTACACACTCCTTCGTTCACACTACTTCCATGCCTACACACTTTCGTATAGACATCTACGTCACAGTGGTAAGAATTAAGTATGATAATAAGATGTACTTGCAATGTTTTTTTATTCTTACTTTAACTATTTGCAGGTGAGAGTAATTGATACCTACCCAAATGATAAAGAAAAGTGTTACTGCTGGTTAAATGATGGAGACAAATATTGTGCCAATACCTGTGGTACTACCAGAACTGAAGCCTTTTATTTAAATGTCACAGGTAGGAGAATTTTGAGAAATTACACACAATAGAGTTCGAGAGTTGTATATCAAAAGGTATTATGACAATAGTCTATGTTGCAGACATATTTCATTTTTTTTTTTAAATTAAATTTTGAGGGATTGTATGACATTTCTATTTGTTGAATTTAATAAAAACTAAATAGTTTTTTTTTAAGTTATATATTTTGGTATTGTCGATTCAATTTTTCTAATGTTACCTCATAAATTGGTTCTACTCAAATATTTATGCAGTAGACGGATAAAATGCTAATATGGTAGCATCAAAATATAATTTTTATTTTTGCTTACACTTGCGAAAAATATTTATGAAAGCACTTTTTAAGTCAGAATTATCATTAAATTTGAATGTATAATGTGTTGTTTTTTTTAAAGTTTGACACAAAAGTAGTACCTTATTACAAATGGCATCTTTTTTTTTTTGTCAAATAATAATTTTAAATGCACAGAAACACCACCAACCTCAAGTGTGGCAACACCACCACCCTCAAGTGAGGCAACACCACCACCAACAAGGGACACACAGACAACATCAACTCTTGGGCCAAGCCCTCCAGCAAATGAAGGATCAAGTTTAACTGAACAAGAGAAAATTATCATTGGCGTGTGTGTAGGATTAGTCCTCTTCTTTATTGTTGTAATACTGCTGTTGTGCTTGATAAACAAACTATGCCCGCTCTCAAATATTAATTTTGGTAAGTTTAACATACAAATAAACTTAGTAATATTTTTGTTACCTAGTTTAATCTATTAAACTTCTATTAGTTAACATTTTACAATGTTTTTATGTCTTAGGCTGTATTTTTGTTTTTCTTTTTTTCTATAGTGAAGTCTTGCTTACAACGGTTCGACAACAATAAAAAATGGAAACCATCATTTCAGCAGACGAGTAATCTAGATAATGGAAAGTTTACAGTTACTGAGCCAGTAATTAGTATGTTACTTTATTATTTTTAATTAGTCACACTTATGAATTTTCTGAGTATGTTTTTATGTTATTGTTTATCTTTCATTTCATTTTTTATTTTATGCTAGCTTTTTTTTTTTAAATCAAACTAGCAAGTATACTTTACTAACTTCTACTTAAGCTTGAATTTTTTCTTTTATTCAAAAGTTGGTAATTTTAAATTTTATGCATTTGACTTTAATTATCATGTTCAAAAATTAAAACCTTTTAAATGCCATTTACAGAAATGCCAGCGCTAAAGAAAAAGAGTGTCTACATCATGTCTGCCATGGATCACAACAAACACGATCAACTGGTCAATTCTTTTGTGGTCTTTCTTGAGGTAACCTAAGGATTAATTTAAAATATTTATCATCGTACAATTTACATTTCAGAAGTTAGTCTTGAAAAGAAATCAGATTTCAAACATTCTTCAGAGTTAAATTTCCAAAACTCAAAACCGGCCTAGATATTTATTAGCTTTACAGTTGCTGAATGGTTTCTAAAGTTTTATTAACTCTTTAAGACCGTAACAATGCTCCCAGCTGTTGGCCCACTAGCCTGCCATACCTTAACTACGCTCCCAGCATCAGATATTTATTCCTTATTTAATCCGTTGTTTCTCTGAACCCAAATTTTTAATCATAAATCTAGGTCATGATATCATTAGTTCAGCCATGTTTCAGTGTATTTACTTGTAGTTTTCTCATTGGTTTCATATTGTATTCTATAGAATGTTTTGTTGTTGTAAAACCACTAGCAAAAGGCCATTTTTTTAAAAAACTGCAGAGTGCCATTCAGCAGCCGTGTCTAAATGTGTACATCGCTACATTATAAAATTAACCAAAATTAAAGTGTTTGTTAATACTAATCCAATTCATGATTTATTTTTTTTAATAATGGATGTACTTTTTTCTATGAATAAGATTAATAACTCATGAAAATTAATTCTAATCATTAATTTTTCCGACAAGCGTATTTTTTTTAAAGGTATTGAAAAAAAATTTGTTGAAAAAATAATTCAGGTAAAATGTAAAAATAATTTTGGGCTTAAAGATTATGGCCTTTAAAATCCCATCTCCTTATTTAAATATGTATTCTAAATTCAGCAATATTCAATATATGTATGCTTTAGTTATTACAACTCTGTTCTGTTTGTAGCTTAATTGTGATTTTTATTTCTCTTCCCAGAGACATTGTTATTGCGATGTTATCTACCCTCCTCATGCTACCCTGAGTGAAGGAGCCTATGCCTGGTTTATAAAAAACATTGAAACTGCTGAGAAAATTATTTTAATTGATTCCTTGGGCGCATTAGAGGAAGCAGACATTCATTTGAAAAACTCATCACGTAAAAGACATGACCTAGGACCAGAAGGGTTGCTATTTTCCTTGGCATTGAAGCACATTTTCATCAAAGGCATGGACAATGTAATACCTATCCATTTTGACAAACAAGGTTGCTCCAAATATTTGCTGAAACCACATTCTTATAAAATTCCAGAAGAGTTACCCATGTTTTTAAAAGAACTGCATTCTCTTGATGGAAAAATAGCCTCTACTGGTGTTTACACTGTAAGTATTTATTTTCTTTGCATATACTTTATGGATAGTTATATTTTAGAGTAACATTAGCAAATTCCATTTTGTATCTTTGTTGAAATTTCCCATAAACTAGCTCTGGGATAATAAAAAAGTATGGCTAAAAATAGATTTAAATAAATAATTTTATTTCTAATTAATTGCTTTAATTAAAGTTTATTACAGATTTTACTTTTTAAAATGTATATACTATGCATGAATTTTTATTCATAGTAATATTTTAAATTAATCTCATTCCTTCAAATTTCAGAACTTCTTGCCTATGTGCAAAGAAAACATCCAAAATTTACCAGAGGGAAAGAATCTTTTGTCTGCCATTCAGTTATCAAAATCATACGAGGCTGACAACCCAGACTGGATAAAACATGTGTACACTGATCGTACATCTCCAACTGCTCCACCATTCCAGACCATGATTTCAGCCTCTGGCGACTCTGGTAACTACTCTGATCTGGACAGGACTTCATCTGTGTCCACTCAAGATCTGACCATCTCCGGCCCTACAAGCCCAACATCAGATTTTGAACAAATCTGTTTTTCACCGGACAGGGAACTAGAGCTGAGCATTTTTACTGTTTGTACAGAATTTCCTCAACCACCACAGCCTTACATTGCTGATGATACATTCAGTCAAGCCGTGGCTAAAATCAACAGGGAAAGTGCCGAGGATTTTGACACTGTAACTGAAGTAACGTCCTATTCAGTTGATGGTCAAAGAATTATTGCCCCATGCACAGTGTCAACAACTGGGGATGATTTGAGCACCTGTTTCAGAGCTATCAACCAACAGTATGAGAACAATGCCCAGTCCATCAATCAAGATGGCTGGCAGTCCATCAATCAAGATGGCTGGCAGATTCAGAATAACGTCTAAAAGTGTGAAGTTTTGAATCTGTTGTTCTCCTGTTAAAACAAAAACAACTTCAGTGAGTGAACTGTGTCTGTTGGATTTCTTAACTGGTGTTACCAATAATTGTAGAGGTAAAGGAAGGTAACTGTGGATTGGACAGAACACAAACTCTGATCATCTACTAACAAAGTAGATTAGGAGATAAAAAATACTATGGATATGCATAAAACAATGGATTTTACTATTGTAAATGGATTATAGAAGACATACAAATTTAAGATAATTTTTAAAAAAAAACATCTTCTTTTACTATCCTTACAGTTGTTAAATTTTGAAATTGTTTGTCTTTAAATTAAATAATTGTAGAGCATATGTATTTTATTACTTATAATGCATGCCATTATCTTAAGAACCACATATAATAATTGCAAGCATGTGGCACTGAAAGCTGCATTCTTTTTCTTATTGGAAGTAAGAAAATTCATCTAGGTATCTACTTTAGATCTGTGATCTGAACAAGTTAGATTAAAATACAAACAGTGGATCTGTTTGTTTATTCAGCTCCGTTATCTTTTCTGTGTAACAAGCAAGTAATTGCACACAAACCAAAACTGATCTGGTGAAACGCAACCATGTTTGCTTCGACAGCCTCCAGAGAAATTAAAATGTTTGACTGAAATCTTTTGTCATTGAGGCAAGTGGTTTAACCTATACTGATAAAATAGGAAGTGACAAAATTACTGCCAAAATTCTCTTATGTTTCATCACTATCACACCACTTTTCACAGGCACATGAATCTTTTTTTTTTTCATTTTCTTGAGTCCCACTAGAAAAACTGGATCAAGTTATATTTCTTTTTAAAGCTGTTAGTTACTGGTTTATGATTTTGGGATTTGTGCCATAATATATAGGAACAAGTAGTCTATACATTAAAACTGATAACTTCAACATTTGTAAAATGACCATGACAATATGTGAATGTTAGATATAATTTAAAATTTGATAACAAAAAATATTATAAATGTAAATTATTATTCTGGGGATATTTACTCTGATCTAGAAAGGAAAATACTCTTATGATTTACTGCAGGAGTACAGCCTGTCCGTAAAATATTCAGCCCCAAGTATACTAAATACACAAAGTAGTTATTCTGAATACACAAAGTACTTTTACTTATTTAAAAATTAAAATCCATTCAGATGTTAAGATGACACATGTCACTTGGCCAAATTATTTTTAATGTGCCTTCCTTTAATGAATTAGTTTCAAAAGATTATCCTTGAGCTTCTATTTCAAGATGTTGAACTGTTACCAAACCTTGTGATACTTAATGTACTTCATTTCCAAAACATTTAATTAAGCCTTCGTGTTAAAACAAAATTTTTGCTTCAGACTCATAATTTAGTGTGTTAGCAGGAAAAAAAATCTTCCAATGCCCAAGCTACTATGTTAAAGTAGATTTCAGGGATGATATGTGCTTATCTTGCCAATTAAAGTAATTATCTACTTTATGTTAAAAGCAATTAGTGTCATGACTCTTCCTTTTTTTAGTAAGATTTTTACAAGTAATAAACCATCAGTGGTTTGCTTAGTAGTTATGAATTGGAAATAATATACAAGGTTGAATAGAGGAAAAAATCTGTTCTCTGTATATGATAGATTAATTGTTGACATTTGTATTGCATTTCTGTGGTTATAAAATATTTTAGATAATCTTAAATTCATATTAAAATTGTATATTAGTTTTATTACTAAGTATGTTGAAAATTGTCATCATCATTACATATATATATCATGAACATATCAAGGCGGTAATTTAAAGAAGCTGATTTATTTTATTTTTTTTTTGCTTGGTCTTCCACTATTTCTTGATTTAAGATTGCAAAGCTGTTTACATGTCCTTTTTTTTTTAAACAAAAAATCTAAGCCTTATAACCAGACAAGCTTAGTGGCAATTAAATGTAGCATCATACGTTTGAATCTCTAAAATTGATTACATTATTTTTAGTACTGACTGATTATCTAATCTTGTAGTACTGACTGATTATCTATTCTTTGTAGTCATTCTCTTTCCTTTAATTTATGAAGTTTCTAAAAAAAAGTTCAAGTTGTTTTTATTGCTACATTATTTTTTTATTATTGTTCTTTTACTATGCAAAACTGTGCAAGGCAGCTGTCATAACATATATTTTTTTGTGAATACAACTTTTCAACAACAAAAAATTGTATATCTAAAACTAGAAGTAAACTTTTAGAAGTGTGAAATATTACTTTTAAAATAAAGACAGAAATTAGTGTTATAATTTTTTTTTAAATCTTTTTTTTTTCATCCACCCACCCCCTTGTTAGTGGTATTTGATTTATTGAGTAGCAATAGTAATACACTCACATGTCCAATCTTGCAACCTATTTGTGAAGTGGCCCAACATTTATAGTGTTGCTGTTTCAGCAACATACAACAGGGTAGCTCTACTTAAAACTGCAAATAAGTAAGAGCAATCTGTGTATTTTGCATCGTACTTCTTACTTATCCATCATTAAAACACTAATATTGTCCCTCATTCTTAGATATATGATTCTTAAAAGCATTCAATCACAAGGTTATATTATGTGTTTACTGTTAGGTAGTTTATATATTTAAACTTTTACAACTTTGGTTACAAACCAATAGCTGTAACAATGCTTGTTAATATTTGTTATTTTACATTTTTTGCTAATTTATAAGGCATTCTTGTTTATTTTACCCTCAGAACTTACTTTGAAATCAAAATAATGCATAATATGTATCAAGCTAGTTAGTTAACTTTTTTTATATTTAATGGATGTGATGTGGGGGGGGGGGTCTGCCCCTGGCATGGCAGCATTTTTTAAAACTATAAATATGAGGTGACAATGGCATATCAAGAGTCCAACCCTACGTTGTATGGGACTGTCACATCTAGAGTAGTGATTTTATTGAGTCCAACCCTGCATAGTATGGGGCTGTCACATCTAGGGTAGTGATTTCATAGTCCAACCTTATGTTGTATGGGGCTGTCTCATCTAGAGTAGTGATTTCATAGTCCAACCTTATGTTGTATGGGGCTGTCACATCTAGAGTAGTGATAATGAGTAAAACCTTATGTTGTATGGGGCTGTCACATCTAGAGAAGTGATTGCGTCCAACCGTATTGCTTGAGGCTGTCTCATCTAGAGTAGTGATATCACTGAGAAAAACCATATGTTGTATGGGGCTGTGACATCTAGAGTACTAGAGTAGTCATATCACTGATTGAAACCCTATGTTTGGGGCTGTGATATCATTGAGTCCAATCCTATGTTGTATGGGGCTGTGACATCTAGAGTACTAGAGTAGTCATATCACTGAGTGAAACCCTATGTTTGGGGCTGTGACATCTAGAGTACTAGAGTAGTCATATCACTGATTGAAACCCTATGTTTGGGGCTGTGATATCATTGAGTCCAATCCTATGTTGTATGGGGCTGTGACATCTAGAGTACAAGTAGTCATATCACTGAGTAAAACCAAGGGTCTCTATTGGTGAGACTTGCAAACATGCTGCACAACATTTTTATGAAAAAATATATATTTACAGTGTTATGTTTATTTGTAGGTTCTTGATTGAAACACCCATGTGGGACCAAAATGGGCAGACAATCTATTGAGGTCACTATTTTGTTTTACTAAAATATTCCATCACTGTTTAGTGTTATGTAACTCTTAGAAATTGTCATAACCTTATCTAGAAACCAAAGATGTTTTACAGTTGCTGCCCCTGTTTATCAGAGTTGTTTTATATTTTATTTTTTTTTTTGCTGATACTTTGCTGTTATATTGTAGGAAGCTGATTTGTGTAGATGATGGTTCTATAATTGTACATGTTGATGTAAAATAATAGATTTTAATTTTACCATATTGGGCAATAATAGACAGCTTTTTTTAACAATATATTTTACCCACCAGCAGATAAATTTTAAAAAATATTCTTGAACCTACTTGGAATTTTTTTTTTCTGTTAAATCTTCTCCTGCTTTGTTTTACACATAATTTTTTAATATAATGAGCTGTATTAAATGAATTATTTTAATAAAAAGTATCATGTTTCTTTCTATTCATCTCTCTTAGCTGAATGTTATGTTAGCAAATTAGTATCACTTACTGATAGCCATACACACATTTGTGAAACTAGTATGTCTATATTTCACCCCTATTAGTACTAAGTCATAGGTCGGTGTGTTTGAGATGGTAAAGCTCATGGTTGCTAAACTGAAAAGTCCTGAGTTCGAACCCATGTGCAGATGAGACGCAATAGCTGGGTAAATCTAGCAGATACAACTCCTAACTCATACAACTGCAGCCTTCTAGTTTTTTCTTGGTTAGACAAGTGGAAGCAAATCCAGAAAAGCGGGCTGAAATCGGAATCAATAGCCTATATGGTGTTTAACAAACTGACAAGTAATACTTAATTGTGTTGGACAAAATCCCATCCAACATTACAATGAAGAAAAAGAAACACTGATTCATGGCATTAAAGTCTCAAAAAACAAACCTAACTAGACTAGATGCCCACTTCAGATTATGTTCATATTATTTTTATATGGTTATGGCTATTTGAAACTAAATATCAATTCAATATAATAATTTTACTAATAATGTAGTTGAACACACACACACATATATATATATATATATATATATATATATATATATATATATATATATATATATATATATATATATATATATATATATATATATATACACATATATAGCTGGCTACTTTAAACATATCTGCCCCAATGGAGAAAAATGTCCACATTTATATATATATATATATATATATATATATATATATATATATATATATATATATGTATATGTATATATATGTATATATATATATATATATGTATATATATA